GGTGTGTACACATGATTCACACATGATGCACACATGATACACATATGATGCACACATGAGCACAGGTCCCCAAAGAGACCAAGAGAAGAGGGTGTTGGACCTCCTGGAGCTGGAGTTATAGGTGGCTATGAGCTACCTGGTGTACCTGTGGGAACAGAATGCAGGTTCTCTGCAAAAGTAGAATTTGCTCTTCACTGCAGAGCCATCTCTCCAGCTCTAAGACAGACAAGTTTAACAAACACAGTATAAAATCAGGGCGTACCAAAACTGCAGGACTTATAAATATTATGTACCTGGACCGCCATTCAACGTCAAAGATGAAGGAAGTTTTTGTGAACCCATGCTAATTTCAATTTTTACAGCAGGTAGTAGGCTACTCAAAAACCACCCACTGAGTCCTTTATTTAGAAATTATGCTGGAAATGGCCATGAGACTCTCCTGCCAAATATTTATTTCATACAGCTGAGTCTGAGAACTAGAATCTACTTTTGCAACTTCAGACACTCCCCTCCAATTGCCTACTTGAGGTCTTCATTTTGGTATTGACAAAGTATTTCCAATTTATGTTTCCAACAATGCTTCTGTCAACTCATTCCAAATGCCGCTCCCACAGTCTTCCCAACCTCAAGAAATGACAAAGCTAATGAGCTATTCATATTCTCCTCCCACATTCTCTGGTAATCCATTTGAAAATCCCGAGGATTTTTACTTCAAATTATATCCTGAAAGAAAGTCTTTCTCAACACTGCCCCCCCGCTATATTCTAGTCTAAGACAGTTTCACCCCTCTTCTGGACTAATGGGTCTTGGCTTTCCTCCCTTAGATCATGTAATGCTGCTACTGGAACCCCAGTTGGTAGGTGAGCCCTTCCCCCAGCTTCTCTGAGTGAGTTTGTGAGACTCACCCACAGGCAACGGAGGCCATTGCTCCTAGAAGTACCTGGGGTTTACTCTGCCCAACACATTCCTAAGCGTGTGACCACATCCAGACTGGAGATAAAGGCTCCTGTCTGCTGTCTTATTGGTAATAATTTCTTCCTCGGGCTGAAGCTGTCCATCAGCAGACACTACATCACTATCTCTCTCCTTCCCATCTGTCACCCACTTCCCTCACTTACTTCCAACACTCCCTCCATAAAGGATGCTCAAACAGGCTCACCCACGGAGGACCTCAGCGGGGTATGCTCCTTCCTGCAGTCACAGTGTCCCCGTCAGAATATCTGCATCATTCCTCTGCTCAAAGCACCCTTCAGTATCCCACCTCACTAGTAAAATAAATATCTAAGGACTGGGACAATGGCTCAGAGGTTAAGACCACTGACTAGTCTTACAGAGAACTTGGATATTGACATGGCAGTTCACAACCACCTGGAACTGCTATTCCAGGGGAATCCAACACCTTGACATTCCTCAAAACACAAGCCAGTTGCCCCTGTCAGCATCTTGGTAACTGAGTTTCCTCCACCAAGAAAGCTCTTCATACGAATGTACTGACTTGTACATGTCTTTCAAGTCTTTGTTTAAATGTCATTTACTGTAGAAACCTTCTACAACTAGTATAAGGCTGCACACACACTAATTTTGTGTCACTCCTCCATAATTTGTCTCTTCCTAGCAGGAGAACATAAGTTCCCTAAGAAAAAACACTTCTCTAGATACCCTTGAATACCCAGAATGTAAAATAGGTCTAACATATATTAGGCATTCAAAACATTTGATGAAGTAAAGGTATTGGGGGTTGAAAATAATTTAAGCATATCATGTACATGTATGAAAATGTCATAAATAGCCAATTTTACATAACCAATGTATGCTAGTAATTCTTAAGACTGTTGTCTTATTCCAGCAAGTGATCTTTTGAGTCTCTGAATATAAAATACACAGGCACAAGTTCAACAAACAATATTTATTCATATTTTTAATATATACCTTGGAAACCATCACCTGGGACAGAAACAGAAGCAAAATAGAAATTGAGCTGTTATAACTTCCCTCCCATTTAAAGTTGCCTTTGTTAAAAAGAAAAAGCCCATGGATAATATGTGGAAGTCAAGAAACAATAGAGCTTTGCAATCCAGAGAGCTCGAGGGTTGTGCCGCTCGCTCAAATGGCTCCCAGTCAAGTTGCTAGGCAGAAATCCCCAAAATACGGAGCACGGTTGCTATCATCAGTGAGAACTCAAGAAGAGGAATTTAAAGTTAAGAAAATTTTATGTAACAGAAACCATTGATATTTAGAACCAAAGGAAGACTGATAACTGTTCGGTCATATGCAAAACAGATGTGTTTCCGTACCCATGGGAAGGACTTTGTGATGGCTTTTGGAATAGCCAAAAAAATGACTCAAGAGAGTGTTGGGTTTGTAGTACTGCGAGCTAGGCCATGGAAGTGAGCAAACCTGCATACCCTTCATCTGGACCCAGAGCTTCCCCTTCCAGCAGCAGGACAGAGAGCGGCAGGCACAGCTACTGCACCACACTCCACTTAGCTCAGAGATCTAGCAAAGTACTCCTTCCCACTACTAAGGACAGCCCCCTCCATAGAGAACGTTAATGTTTCTTCTTTGTTACAAAAAAAAGAAGTAAGTCAAGACTTCTAGAGGTCTGTCTTCACTATGCACACACCAGGAAGCAGGCTGCAGGCTGAGTTCTAGAGAAATTGCCTTTACTGAATGGAGTGGGAAGTGTGGGCTGCTCCCTTCACCAGGCCTCACGATCTTCCACTGTTCAGCTCTAGCCTGAGGCTTCATGATGTCTCACCTCAGGTCTCCAGAAGCCATCTCTCTCCCACAATCCCCTGGCAAAGCCTCTGACCCCCACGGTCTGTCTGTTCCTTCAAATGTTGCCCCGGTATCCTGGGGGAGAGATTCCCCTGCCACCTTCTGCTCTCTGGCGCATCAGGTCTCTTTGTTCTTCTTTACAGGAAATTTCCCCATGACAGACAGAATGATGCCAGGGAGAATCATTATTGTTTCCCAAAGGGGACCTCTTTCCTCTTTTGACTCCCCAACAGTTCCCTCTACAATTTGTTACAATATTTTCAAAAAATAGTCACAGACTCTCTGTGCCAAGAACCTGGGTCTGAGGCAGAGATTTGAGGCATTCTGTGGCATTTCTAACAAGCTGCCTAGGAGTTTCGAGGATCTCAAGTTTAAGGACGCTCATCCCCATCCACAAGGGAGCATCTCCAGGGCTCCTCCCTCTCTCCCAGAAGTCTTCACCACTCCTCACGCGTTTGCTTGGTGGTAGAAAAGGTCAGGATTGGGGTCACTTAAAGTCAGTTTCTGAAAATGTAAGTACTTTAGGAAATGAAATATCAAAACCTCATTGCAAAAGCTGAGATACATCCTAGAGGGTTAATATGGGCCGATAAGCAGAAAGATGCATGGATACAGAAGCATGAGAATATACAAGTATATAAGTTATAAAATTCACAGTACCCAGTAGCTGCTGTCATCCTGTCAAAGGACGCAAGTTTCAAGTGAAGTGTGACTTGTTTTTTAGTTTTGTTTTCCATTAGATCCAGTGCCTATCTAAACCCATTTGGAAATAATATCAAAAGCCAAACTTTTAGGCTGTTGTTGAAGGTGAAACTTTGACGATGAGACCCTTTGTCCCTCCGTGGATATGCTCCTGGATCAGACAGGTAAAGGAAGTTCACACTCCTGAGGAGAGGTGTGCAAGCCCCCAGGCAAGGAGACCGCTGGGGTCGCTGAAGGCGAGCATTCCCCTAACCAGGCTCTTCTGCTTGTGGGAAACTCTGCTTCAGCTGATCCACCCGTGGGAGAGATCAAACAGCGCTCACTGAGTCCTTCAGCAGGTGCTTAGCTTCTCCCTCTCCACTGCCGACACATTTCTGTCACCCCCTTCCCCACTTGAGTCCCATCCCATAGGCAAGCCTTGGGTAGACTTTCCAGCCTGGTCTCTACTATGTGACAGGAAATGAAGACACGCTGGAATGCCTGTCTGGTCCACTGTTGTACTTTTTATGGCTATGGCAATAGCCAATGCAAGGTTCCCAAAGAGGAGGTGGGCAGCAGGGTTCCGAGTCCCTCCCCTGCCGAGCCAGGGCTGGGGTGTGTATACAGGAAGACAGGCTGATCCCGCTGCCTTGGAAACAGTCTTCCTCCATGCTCACCTCATGTGAGTCCTGGCGACCAATGGCACTCACTACGAAGAAAAGCGCACTAAGGGGGTGGGACTTGCATACCTTGGAACCCCGCTGTGACCCTGAAGAAGCAGGGTGGTATTTGACAGACATTTAGCACTGTGTTTGTTCTCTCAGGATGTTATCTCCCCAGAGACAAATAAAAACCCTCTCCACACCTGAAGGCGCGGCTTCGCTGCCATGGCTGCCATTGAATCCTAGTACAGCAGAGTCCCCTTGGCAACTGGCTCCTGGGTTAAGAGAAGAGGAACGCCTGGGACAGGTGCCTCCAGCACCCAGGGGTGAGGAGAAGGGTCTCCATGCTGACTCCTTCCTCCTTCCTCCACAAAACCCGGCGTGCTGGCACGCCAGTCTGTCCATAACAGGGGATTGATTTAGCCAAGATGTTATCATCTCCAATAAACCACAAAGAAGAGAAGAGTCTCTGATTTTATTTATAACCTGGAGGGATTATTTTTGAGTTAAGGTTTTAAGAATTCAGATCTATCAGGAAAGAACAGCTTGTGTAACGAACTTCCTGTTTTCATCATATTTGGACACTGAGCCTCCTTGTTGTCTGTTATTATTACACAGTTAATATGAACTGCCTGGAGTTTATTTTTAGCAGGACTGACTCTATTGTAAGGACTGCATAACTGCTTTCAAAATGGGAAAATGTAATTACGGGATCTAACACTAAGTTGAGGATATTCTTAGGTCCTTTCATGAGGCAGTGGCTGATAAAATGAAAATAGACTATTTTAAATGGCTAAAGAAAACAGAGTTATTTGATCCAAAATAGCCCATTGAGCCTTTTACAAACTACACACTTCACAGAATAAAGTCTCACTTAAGTTGAAGTGACCTAAACATATGAATTTATTTCCAAATCCGGGATAGCAGGGGAGTAAGAGGGAAAATTGATTAAGAATGGAAGAAGAAAGGGTGTGAGAAAATTAGAAAATTATTAATATTGCCCTAAATGTGCAAAACACCTACAAGGACTTGAGAGCTAGAGACTATAAATGTCCTGTGTGCAGAGTGAGCCAGCCTGTGTTTCGTGGGCACAGATGACGTCCATGGCCAGTGTGCTGTGCAGGATTGCCTTTTCACACTTGCTGTGACCTAGATTTAGTCTTTCCCACAGGTCCCTCTGTCAACCGCCACTGCATCCATGAGTCCTCTCTTTCCACTTCACCACTCATTCATTCACTCAACAACACAAGTCCCTTGAGTATCCACGTGTGCCAACCTCTGGTACTTTCCAGATATATTGGTAGAAATAAGTTTGGCATGTTCTGGATCAAAAAGGAAATCCCTAACCCCCAGGGGTGAGGTAGGGAAAGCCTCCTGTAGAAGATGACATTTGAAGCCAAGTCTGAAGTTCAAGTTGAACTTATCCTGGGGGAAAATATAAACCAAAGAAGAACCTGGGGCAGAGACACAACCACGAAAAAGTCTGTGGTTAACATCAAGTGAAAACCTGTATGAGAAGAATAAAGAATAAATAGGATGAAAACTATAGTGTCAGTTGAGTCCATGAAATCCGCAAGAGCAATGAGAACACATTTCTGCAAAGTTATATGTGATGGGTGAAAGACTAGACAAAACATGACATATATACATATATATATACATATATATACATATATATATATATATATATTCAGTTTTAAAGAAGGAAATTCTGACCCATTCACCAGTATAAACTAACCTTGAGCACACTGTGCTAAATGAAATAAACCAGTCACAAAAAGACAAGCATTGTATGATTCCCCTTGTATTATGTGTAAAGAATTCAAACTCATACAGATAGAGTCAAAATGTGATTGCCAGAGTCTGAGAAGTTACTGTTGATATAGACCATAGTTTGATACAGTGGTGATGTCTGGTCAACCAAGGTGAATGAATTCAATGCTATTGGCATGTGCCCTGAAAATTATTAAAATAAGCTTTGTGGTACTCATGTTTTATTACAACTTTTCAATTCAGAGATCACTGAAGTTGCTGGATTGATATATCTATCTGGAGACAGAGATGGGGCCGGGGCAGGGGAAAATAGAGAACACAAGTGAGGAGACCGGTTCATTAGTAGTTCTTGCAATAAAAGGAGAGATAAAAATTGCCTGAACTAATAAATAACAAATTTGAATATCAAAAGATTGCCTGAACTTCGGCTGTATGAATAAGAACAGAGACTAGGTCAAGGTTCCTTTTGGCAATAGAACTATAAGAAAAGAAAAAAGATGTAGTCCGGATCTCTGGTCCAGAAACTAGATGGATGGTGACTGAATTCAGTTGCTGGGAAGGGTGAGTGAGTGGAAAAATCTGATTTCTTGTGGAATCACTTAGAAAGTGTATAAAGTTGTGTCATTCCTGACTTACCTGTCTCCTGGCTTTCCTCAGGGGCATCAAGCACACACCTGCTTTACAAGTTTTGCACAAACTGTTCCTCCAGCATGGAAACTCTTCCTGGAGACACTCACGTGACTCCTTCTGATCTCTGCTTAGATGCCACCTGATCACGCCGTTTAAAATAGCAAATCCCACCCCCACACCACTCACCCTCTCCCTTACCTACCTGACTTTTCTCCATAGCAAAGAATACCAACTGTCATTCCATATACTTCTTAATTTATTTTCATTGCTGACTCTCTTGTCTCCTTAAAATACACATTCCATGAAGGCAAGGTCAGGGAGTGGTTCAATCTGTTCTGTTGCTGTATCCTAGACACCAAAAATGATCCCTAGATGATATTAGGCTCTCGGGCTGAATGAATGAAAGAGAAAATGAATGAGTTCTGTTCCTGGTGTGTTCACAGAGGTGAGACCCAGAAATGATTCTCCGCAGTTGCTCACAGTTTCCTTCATGATACTTACCTACCATCGTTCACCAATTTCTTCCTGGTATTTGGGTGAAGGTGTTGAGTTAATTTAGTTATGAACCTTATGTCATGATTTCCTTAAATAGTAATGCTGTAGATGCTATAATAAAATGAATCTCTTCAAGACTTGAAAATCCACAAAGAACATCCTTATCTAATTTTAAATTTTAATGAATAGTTATAACGATGAGTAATTAATTTTGATATTTATAGAAAATGAAATGCATTTTCCTTTATGAAAATCTAGCACTTTAGGAACAACAAATTCTTGGAGAAAAAATTCTAATGAGATCATTAGGGTTGAAAACATGTCTCCTGGCCATAGCATGCATTGCAACTGAACAGGCATTGATGGGCTCGTCCTCCTTCTCCAGAAATGTTCCAGCTGAACCATCTATTCCTCTAATATGTGAGAAGCTGTCCTTGGAAGAGCAGTAGGATAGCTAAGCTTGAGTCTCATGGTAGCTGAAACATAGAGAGAAAACACAGTTTAACAAACTAATGTCCTCAATCCAGAAGGAACTTCTCATCGTTTTTTTTAAAGACAGTCTTAACCATGTAGTCCTGGATGACCCAAATTCACTATGTAGACCAGGCTGGCCTCAAACTCATAGACTCTCTTTGTCCCCTATCTCTTTGTCCCCAATGGTGGCATTAAAGGTGTGCACCACCATATCCTGCCCTCGCATCATTTCTTTTAAAGGATGGACTTGTAGGTGACATAATATAAAACATTCATAGCACCGGTATTTGAAAAGAATAAGAAGGGGGAGAAGGCCAACACGTTATTCCAAGGGACAATCCTTACACTAATTCTCAGAGAGAGCCAGGGATAAGACTACATAATGCCAGATGTATAGCTCCGTGAGAACAGCTCTGTCAGGCACAGAGGCAACGCTGTCCACGTGTCTCCCTTTCCGGCACTACACCAAACTACTACAGTGGAGATCAGTGCAGAGAAACAGAATCGGGCTATCTATTAAATCATCTCTCTGCAGCATCTCGCACCTCAGGTGAGCCTTTGGAGGGCGCGCAGTCACAAGTCACTTCAGGATGGGATCCACCGACAAGTGCCTGGAGTGCCAGTCTGCGACGTTGATTACGCACATGCTTGAAACAGCAGATGTGCAGGAAGAGAGGCTGGCGTGCCTCTGGCAAGTCTCATGGAGCCTGACTTTCGCTCTTGCCACCGTATTTCTGCACAAAGGTAAGCCGCGGGAGTTCTCACGTGCGGTGCCAACGTTTCCCTCAAGATGGATTCCCACACGCTCACACACTTTGACAAATGCTCTTCACAGAACCTGGAGTTTTCCACTCTATTGCAGGAGATGATTTTAGTTTAGGCCCTTCTTAGGTTGAATGTGACCAAACAACCATTTAATTTTTTTATTAAAACAACAAAATCATCCAAAACCCTCATTACGGCCTCAGTTGAAATCACTCCTGTATGCCTGTCAGAATGAGTTAGCTATGGTGAAAAATAACATCTTTATATGGACTAGAAGGAGTTCACTTCATGGTCAGGGTTATCTGACATCATCACGTAAACGCTGGAGAGTGTCTGCCCCAGGCAGCAGTTTCTGCTCTGACAGAAACTGCTCTTTCTAACAATAGTCAGTCAGCAGGTTCGGCTGCCACTGTTGCAGTATTGTTTATTAAACATTACAAAAACATTAACAAAACTCGAAATTTAAAAAAAGGAAAAATTCGCCCAGAATTCTGCCATCCTACAAACCAAACTGTTGACAGTTTCCGCCCTGTTCCCTTGCGGTCCCTGTCCATATGCAGACAGAATTTTTAGATGAGATACAGCTTGGTGTTCAGGTTTGTCTCAATTAGAGTTTTTAAAGCATTTTTACAGTGTGCTCTGTCACCTTTCATTCTGAGGCTGTGAACACTCTACCATTCTTAGTGACCCCAGTGAGATCTGAAGGGGTGGTGATGGATTTGAAGGAATCATCCACAGAATAAGGGGAGGGGGCTATTTTTAAATTCCCAATTGAAAGGATGAAGTCTCTAGAATTAAATTTGAATGGAAAGGATTTCTCTCACCCTTTGTTCTTCTGTCTGGAAGCCTTTATAAAAATAGTCACTTTTCCCATCAAGCATGGTTTTGCTAACCTTAGAAAAGTGTTCTTGCTCATGTTTTCTCTTCAAGTGCTTCATTTTGAGATACCTTTCAGACCTCTGGGACACTCACACACAGAGACATCCTTTCTCACATCTGCTGTAGAGGTTCTGTGTCACCTGGAATTTTACAGGGTAGGTACCACACCCTAGTGAATGGGAGGCACCGTACTGAGCTCTCAACACATTGGGCACCCAAAGCTTCCCGTTTTAATTTGCAGCACATCAGACTCGAGGTCCAAAATGCTCAAAATCACAGATCTCATGACTCACCACGTGCTTGCATGGTTCCCCAGACAGACCTGACTGGGGCAGAAATGAAGAGAAGACATACAGACAGATGGACAAAAGCTGAAGGAGGGTAGGTTGGGATCTTGGATGGAGAAACCCACAGCACCTCAGAAGCCCAGCGTGTTTGTTACATAGAGTTGACACAGCAGGAGAGTTACTGAATGTGGGTAGACAAGGAAGAGGGGAATAAGCAAGAAGGTGGGGTTTATGGTGGATACCGGATCAAGGAGACAAGTTTATAAATGCTAACCTCAGAGTAGCTTTTGTAAGGGAGCAGTCTATAGGCCACAAATACGGAAGTGTGGCTATGGCAGACATTTTCTGCATAAAATCAGCATCTACAGCTGGACCACAAGGGAAGACTTCACCGTTTCCCTCTGAGCCTCACCCCATGGTGGGCAGAGGGGAGGCTTTGCCGTTTTCCCATAGGCCTGAGACTAGAGCCCTTGACTTGACCAGGCCCATATCAACAGCACACATTCAGAACATCACTTACGGATGGCTCCTCCTGCTGCTTACTCACACTGACCCTTGACCTTGTAACGCAGAATCTCAGATTCATCTGATAACGTAAGTCACAAACTGTCAGAGTTCTCTCCTTTCTGATAATAGCTCTGATGATATGAGCTGTGCCTTTCAGAGTGAAGGAAGGAAGAGCTGGAGGGGTTGCTGGGTGAGAGGCCGCTGCGGCTATTGTGAGAGATGCCTTGAGCTGGGCAGACATGAAGTGAGAATCACCCACTCTGGTAATCCTGTCTCCCAGCATCAAGTCACGAATGCCCACATTTTAACCTACTCTAACCTAACCTCAATCTGCACACAACCCTTGAACAAACACACAAGGCTCCAAAGGGGGCAATGTTGGGGTAATATAAACTTTGTTTTAATCACAACACTTTGACTCTAGGACACCTCCACTTTTAATACTATATTCTGTATTGTTTGTAATTTTTAAAACATGGATTTATGTACTAACCAGGTAGTTGAAGACTAGGCTACACACTTCTGGGTGGCCTTCCAGAGAAATGGGCCTCATCCCTTCAGGGTTTGTTCCAAGCAGTCCTTAGAACTTGGCCAACCAGACTGATCGTCTGTAGTGTACACAGGGACACACTCCTTCTCTGTATTGAGGGAAAAAGAATAAAAGCAGTGTGGGACAAACAGAAACAAAGAAATGGAGACATTTGATAGCCTACTGTGTACAGGAAGCTAGGAGTCAGCACACACCTTGTTTGTAAGTTCTGGGGAGCTTTGACCCCTCCCCCAAGGACATGATTGGAAGCTGGACCTCAGGAAAAGCTTTCGGGTTAGATCCAGCTAAAATCATCTGAGTCCTGTGTTTTTATCTGCTTTGGGTTCCCAAAACTGGGAGAAGGAGCAATCACTGACAATCAGCAGGGACAGACCAGGGGTGATGCTAAAACACCCCCACAACACACAAGACAACACCCCTACAAAGACTTACCTGACTCAAGAGTGTCAATAGTGCTAACATCCAGTGGGCAGGAGGTAGGAGACGAGCCTGATTAAAAATGGATCCCGGGAAGCTGCAGACTTTATGCCAAGGAAATAGCAAAGCTATAGATGAGAGTCATTGAAATCATAATAGAAGAGGCCATGATTGGATGCAGCAAAGTCCCTTAGCATGTTAATATGAATACCCAGAGAAAGGTCAAGCCTAAGCTAAAAAGAATCCCCAGAAGGGGCTCAGGGAGAGAACAGTCAACACATGTGTAATATGTGAAAACCAGCAGGTACTGGAAAATGATTGGTTGTAGGGTAGTGGAGGATTGCTGGATAACGCCTAGGTTTCTCACATTGTCAGTTAGATTACATTTAGAGTCGCTGAATACAAGAAGGGGAGGGTTGAGGTGTCAGATTAATGCATCTAGTTAGAAGTTTTACAAAGGTCTCAGGAATTCCTTGGAGGAGATACCTAGATGGTAGAATATACTCAGTCAACAACTACTGTACTAGCAATGATCGGTTGTCAGTGGTTTGTGCCTAATGATGATTAGCTCCATATGCAAGAAAACTCTTAGATGGAGACTCAGCTTTTCAGTTGAAGAAGAAATTTGGTGTTACTTTTGAGAAGGTCTCAAAGAGCCTTAATGGTTCTGTAATTTCGTGAGATGGAGGGTTTCCCGTTTTGAATCTGGAGTCAACTACACTTAGAGTTCCTCTTGAGGGAACCATACCTGTGGAGCTAATTAAGGTAAATAGGTTGGCAAAGGTTTCAGCCAACTACTCAAGCAAAGTTAAAATCATTTTGGCAGCAGAGCTTCTCTTCTGGAGGCCTACAGCGTCAAAGGTGGGATGTTTTTAGGCTGGATGAAAATATTGGAGTGCAGCAATGAAGGAGGCTGAAGAACAGAAAATGCAAAGAGGTGGGACAGGAATCTAGATGGTGTGTTTGGTAATGAATGCACACGGGTAATTCCAAATGACTAGACGATACCAAGGAAGAGCAGTCTCCAAATCTGCATTATTGGTGTCCCCGTCCTTGAGCCCAAAACAAATTTTAAAAATTTATGCAATTTAGTTTTGGGAAAGGATAAGTTGTTTTTGAAACAGTTATAACTTAATGAGTCCTCTATTATATCTGAGAATAACATCTAGATAATATGGCCTGGAATTTATTTATTTATTTTTGTTGCTTTCTGATCTCTTTTATGAAGCAACAGATAAAAGGTTGTTCTTGGATAGTCCAGCGACATGGTAATATAACCACCATTTGTTGATACTGTAAATAGTTATTAACGAGGCCTTCAGAATAAAATATGTTCCATAAATTTTTGTAGGTAATAAATTTGTTCCCTTCAGTTTAACCTTATCGCCCAAATCTTACAGACTTACTTACATACAGGGGCAGATGAGGGTGAGGGTGTAGTTCAGTGATTGAGCACTTGTCTAATATGAGTGGGGCCTTTGGGTTCAATCCTTAATACCACACATACACCAAAAAGTTACACAGACAATAGATGTGAGGACAGTTTTGGAAGTTCTGATCAAGTTTAAGAGGAAAATATTTCCTTTCCACCAGTCTTTTTATATTCAACACACAGATGAAGATAATTTCCAAAGAGCTAACTCTGCAATCACCAGAATTCTGCTGCTGGTTGGAAATATAAGGGGGAGTTCACAGATTACACTCACAGCCTGCCATTTACCTTTATTGGGCTGCGATTGTAAGTGAGTTTGACCGCACACTTTCCTCTTTAATTCAGACGGTTGTTCCCGGAGAAGTACCTTAAAAGGAAGAATCTAACTATTGCAGTTTCCTCATGGATGCTGTCCTGGTGGAACCGCTGCCAATTCTGGCACTGGAGTGCCCTGAAATTATGTCAGCTAATGAATAATTAGGAAACACAAAGTTCAGAAGGCTGTCAAAACACAGAACAATCTGAAGTATCGTTCATCCTAACAGAAAAGTCGAATGTGAAAAGGCCCAGACGGGCCTCACCAGGAGCTGTGTTACTCTTTACATCGTGTGAAATCTACAGAGAGGATTTTTATTCCTTCAGTAAGTGCCACCCCTGTTTGTACAACAGTGTCTCCATTAATCAATGCAGCAGTGTGTGACCTGTCTCTGCAGCCTCCCAGCTAGAAACCGGAGAGCAAAGGTCTAACCCCAGAATCATCTTTCTAACAATTGCGGAGAAGGGGTTAATCCTGATCTGAAAATTAATCTAACCTTTTAGCATTACACTATTCTACATCCCATAATGCCAAGTTCAGGAAACCAAACTTAGTATGGTAAGCTAATCTTTTGTCTTGATTTAGTTCCTTAAAAAAAAAAAAGACAATAAAACAAAAAACAGGCAAAAACTCCTTTTTCTCCTCATGAGCAGTGAGTCATCACATCCTCAGCATCCTTGCTGGTGTGACCTGTGCATCCTCTGCACTTCTGGAGGTCTGGTTGGTAATGGCAGCATCTCTGGGTCCATCCAGACCAACCAGAGAAGGAGCCACATGCACACTGGGGTTTGAAAACTGCATCTCCTGTATATGAGCGTGTGTGAATAGCTTCTCTCCACCCCTCCTACGATGGTTGCTCATCAGGGTCTCAAGTCTCTAACCAGCAGTGTCTGCTGATGTTTCGATCACTCGTACTCTCTTTCGGTCTCTCCTCAGCCCTTCACCACTCAGTTCCCATTAGAAACCACCAACAGACTAGAGTCCTCTTTACCACACGCATTCCTCATCCCATCTCCCAGGCAACTCATCACCCTCCACTCAAAATTACCACTGCATCCTCTGTACCTGCTTAAAAAAAATAGCAGTAGGGGGTTGAAGAGATGGCTCATTCGGTAAAGAAACTGAGTTGGATCCCCAACATCTACCTGAAAAAGTTAGGAACGTACTTATAATCAGTCCCCCAGCTCTGGGGATGCTGAAACAAGAGAGTCTCAGGGACTTGATGGCTGGAAAGTCTAGCCAATCAGCTAGTGCCAGGTTCAGTGAGAGACCCTGTCTCAAAAGTAAAGTGGAGAGCAATTGAGGAAGACAGCAGACATTGACCTCTGGCCTCTGCAAACATGTGCACATGAACCTGTACATACAGACACACAGATGTACACACAGAGACACATACCGAAACATCTTTTCAATTTTAAGAAATTGCTCCTTTTCTTTTTCTTTTTGGCTTTTTGTTTGCTTGTTTGACTAGCTTGTTTTAGTTTTCCAAGACAGTTTGTCTGTGTAGTCTTGTCCATCCTGGAACTCAACCAATAGACCAGGTTGGCCCCAAACTCACAGAGATCCGAAAAATTGCTGTTTCTAAATATTTTATTACTTTGATTACTTGTTTTTATTTTTCGAGGCAGGGTTTCTTTGCGTACTCTTAGCTGTCCTGGAGCTAGCTCCGTAGACCAGGCTGGACCTGAACTCAGAGATCTACCTGTCTCTGTCTCCTGAGTGCTGGGATTAAAGACATGTGCCACCACTGCTGGGCAATTTTACTATCTTTTAAGAAAATACAAAGCTTTCCCCTTTCCTGCAATTTAGTCTTCCCCTCCTCTCAAATCTTGCCAGATTTTTCTCTCACTTTCCTCTGGGCTCCAGTCTCCTCGCCCATGTGTCAATTGTCTGTGTAGCAGGCCAGAACACTCTTCCTTCCAGCAACGGGTTATTGCTCTTGAATCTTTAGAAGATTGATCTAAAGAGACAAGGAAATTAGAAGCATGGTGGTAAGAAATTTTAAAGCGAATATTCATGAGCAGAAAAGAAAGGCAAGTGTGATCATTAAGAATTGAAATAAGAACTATTACCCCTGGAAAGAGTCTGCAAAACAGACAAAAATTAACATTTACTATTTTATTACTTCTCCTAAAATCAAACAAAACCTTGTTAGGAGTTGATTTTCATGCAGGGTGTCCTCTGAATTTCCTACTAGCTCAGCGGTTACTTTTGCCCATGTTGTCTACGTCATTCTCTCTATGTTATACTACTTGATAGCCATTATCTGTCATAAACAGTCCTTCTGGGTGGCTCTCATCTTTAGTGACCTCAGCATATTCCAACTTTTTCTCGCTCCCTACCCTATGGCATCTCAACAAACGCCACACTTTAAACTAAATGAAATACAAAGGAAAAGAAGTGGCATACTCGGATTAAATATCTTAAGATATCTGGAAACACTAGTAAAGCATGGACAAGTAAGTCTGAGGTGTCTTCCTCAACCTCTCTCCATCATATTTTTAGATACATGGTCTCTCTCACTGAGCCTGGATCACTGAGCTGATTCACCAGGAAGCTCCTGGGGGTCTGTACCTTTCCAGCATGGAGAAGGCAAAATATCCGCTGCCATACCTGGCTTTTTATGTGGGGTAAAGAGATAAGAACTCAGTTCCTCAGGCTTGCACGAAAAGCACTTTACTGACTGAACCATTGCCATAGTCCATATGCAGTCTTATAACTCAGGAAGCATTGTCTGAATGCTGACTCCCACATCTGCATGAAGATCGGCAGCAACTGTTGCTTTAAATCTTTTCTTTAAAAAAAAGAAAAGAAAAGAAATGTGCTTTAAAAGCTGACATCCAAAGTGTGTTCCCAAGAGTGTTCAGAGACTAGATTTCAAATGTGACATAGCTTTTGGCCTGAATCCTTTCAGGCCTGTCTAATGGAATCAAAGCAAATTAGAAGTATTTGTTGTAAGTCAAATAATTTCAACAAAAGTCAGAAACAAACCAGGTATATTTCAGGTTCGTTTTCTTCTACTGCTTTCAAAATCATTGGAAGTAAGTGGGCAGGCCATTATATATGCAGGACCGTGAGCTCACTAAGGGCCTTGGAGTCGGTGATTTTAAGCTAGATTACACATTTCCCAACAAGTGGCACGGTGCCCATCACATGACGCTGCTTTACAAGCATTTGTTGGGTAAGTAATCTCTCGTAATTTTGCAGATGAGGAAATCCGGGTCGCTAAGCAGTCCAATCAGTGTAAGCCACACAGTGATTTTGTACCAGGCCACACCAGAACTGCTGTCTACCAACCTTTATTTGATGACATGGCTGGCCATTGATTTCACCATAAGCAAATGTTTTGGGGTGGGGCTAGAAGTAAATGAACAGTAAAATAAGAACTAAGCTGCCTGGGGACTGTTTTCCTAACACCTCATCAGAAGTTACACATTCAAACACACACTTCTGCATAAGACTGGAATGAGAGTATCCACTCCAAAACCAATTAAAACTCTCCCAGGAATAAACAAACAGAACCCATTCTGTATAACTGATGGCCAGAACTGATAATTATAGGGATAAAAATCAGGTTTTAGTGATAGAAAATTAGCCCATATAAGGAAAACATATAAAACTACAGAATGCAGCAGGTTGGCTGTAAACTGAAATCTAGACCAAATATCACTTGAGGATACTTTGAAAGAGACTCCAATGGTAATAAAAATACTTTTTATGACACATTCTTAAAACACAAAATGGGCTGAAGAATCTGCATAGTGATTTAATAATTCAAGTCTAAAAGTGGTACACTCAGGGAAAACCATCAGATAACAATTGGAGTTAATTAATCATTTTTCTTGGTCATCACGGAGGTGGGGAACACTCCAGGGAAGATTCGTGAAGCTTTGCCAGGGCTTTGAGTGTCTGTTTCAAGCCTACTTCTGTGTCATGCAGTGCAAACTCCCGTGAGTGGGCAGGAGACCGGTGAAGAGTGAACAGTATGTGTAAAGTTCATATCTGTGCCACTAAGAGGGAACTATTTTCAAACCTATGTTATGACACCACTTCAATTCAGGGAAAGGACAGAAAAATGCCTTGAAGGCTGTTGGCCTGGAAGAATGCTGAGGCCCAGGATCCAATTAAAACTCTGTTAACTGGCATCAAGCAAGGTGCTGAAGGAGGGCAGAAAACAACCAATTCCATCCTAGGGGAAAACTCATCTCTGCCTTAGGAATAACGTAAAAGAACTGAACCAGGAAAGGCAAAACAGAGGAGAGCTAAAATAAGCAGAAACAGCATGGAAGGAACACAGACTGTCAAGATATTCTCTTGAAATTTGTGCTAATCAAAGAAGTTACATAAAAGCCAGGCATTGGTAGCACATGCCTTTAATCTCAGCACTCGGGAGGCAGAGGCGGGCAGATCTCTGTGAATTCGAGACCAACCTGGTCTACAAGAGTTAGTTCCAGGACAGCCTCCAAAGCCACAGAGAAACCCTGTCTCGAAAAAAAAAAAAAAAAAAAAAAAAAGAAGTTACATAAAACTTCTGGCATTCCAGTCCTGGTCTGTGAAAGAGGCTGCCATTTTGCTACATAAACACAATGAAGAAGACACGAGCTTCGTTTAATAGCTGGTGCAGGGAGATTTGTATTTCTTGTGTAGAAAACTAAAAACAGATGTCGATCTCTCACACCCTGTACAAAAATCTACTCAAAATGGACCAAAAGGCTTCACAAATGACTCCTGGGCCCCATGAGCAGAAAGCATAGAGGAGCATGTCTAGACAGGCATGAGCAATGCTCTGCTGAACAGGACTGCAGTCGTTCAAGGACTGTAGTAAGAGCTGATTGCCAGAAACAAGTTGATCACAACATTTCTACATAACAAACAGAGCACTAAGAAAGTAAAGAAACATGCTACAGGATGGATTAATATCCAGAATACATAAAGAACTCAAAATAATACACACACACACAGACCACATACATACCAAAGAGCAAACAAGGAGACCAACGAGTAGAATGAAGAGACAGACTTCTCAAAGAGCACGTGAGGGTGATCTGATGTGACATCTGTCACCCCGTGCATCGCCAGGGTTGACTCAGCTGATCTGGCTGGCTAGGCTGGTGTCCCAGTCCTCCCTCACTGCTCCGTGTGCATCACCCCCAAGAGTTGTACTTCCCCAAATAGAGGAGGACCAGTCTTTAAGGGCACACAAGCAGCTGTACTCTCATGCTGGAACCACCGAAGAAGCTCTCAAATAAAGAAGAGCAAATGATCAGTATGTGGACAGACACTCACTACCTTGAGCCATCAGGGAAACGCAAGGGAAAACTACATGAAGACCCCATCTCACCCAGTCAGGACGGCTGTCATCAAGACAACGAACACTCGTAAGAATGTGTGAGAAGGGAGCCTTTCCTTTGTAGTCCTGCGGAATGTGTAAAGTGTCCCAGCCACTGTGAAAACCAGTGTGGAGGTTCCTTAAGAAACTGTGGGGAGAACTGCCGTATGGCCCTGCTCTACCAGGCTCGCTGAGACAGTTTATCACGTTTTCTCTTCTAGTATGTGCAACTTAGAAGGGAATGGAGACCAGAATAAAAGGGATGCTATGACGAGCATGAAGGGAGGAGGAAGAGGGGAAAGGTGAGGAAGGATATTACGGTGCATGGGTGTGATAAAAGCATGATATACGTCCGCGGAAATGGCATGGTAAAGTCCATTACTTTGTACAATGATATACTCCAATTTTAGGATGAGACTGTGGCTCAGATTGATGAATTGTTCCTATCTCATACAGTAAATAAGAGCCGGGAGGTGCACCAAGAAGTCAAGCTTCTCTAATGAGATTTTAACCACCGTGTCACGCCATCATCCCCCCCCCGTGCTAGCCATTAGTTGAAATGCTGCTTCCTCCCCATGGCTGAACTCTATGCTGTCAGATTGTCTGGACTGGATCTCACTGTGGTATAAAAAAGCAAGTGACTGCAATTCTTGTGACTAGAACTCAAGTTCACTATCAAGTGGCTATAATTCTAAGTCTGTCGGTCCTGCATAGCTGCAAGTTCTCATCAGTGAGGTCAATAAAAAAATTAAATTAGCCAAACTCCTGGAATCTAGCCTCAGAGAGGGAGGAATGACCAACAAAGGCGCCAAGACCACGCTGGAAAAACCTGCAGAAACAGCTGACCTGAGCAAGTGGAAACTCATAGACCCCAGACTGACAACTGGGGAACCAACATAGAACCAAGCCAGGCCCGCCCCCCAATGTAGGTATCAGTTAGAAGCACTGGAAAGTCTATGGGACCTCTGGCAGCGGAACCAGGATGTATCCCTGGTACATGAATGGACTTTGGGAGCCCATTTCCCATGGAGGGATATTCTCTTAGCCTAGATACACAGTGGAGGGCGTAGGCCCTGCCCCAAATGACTTGACAGATTTTGATGATCCCTCATGGAAGGCCTCATCTTCCCTGGGGAGTGGATGGGGGATGGAATGGAGGCTCGGTGGGGGGTGTGGGAAGATAGGAGGGAGAGGAAACTGGGATCAATATATAAAATAAGATCGTTTCTAATTTAAATAAAATTTATATAAAAAATTTTTCAAACGTGTGTCTGAATTGAAAATTTATAAACAAGATATATAATTTATATTGCATGAAGTATTATGACAAATTAGACATGATTTAAATTCTATAAGAGGGTGTACCTATATTGTATGCAAATACTGTGCTAGTAGACACAATGGACTTAAGATCTGTGTATTTGGTATGTGGAGTCCTGGAGCCAAGCCCCAATGGCTACCAAATGACAACATGTACTGGAGGGACCATGTTTTACTTACTTAGTGTCTTCAAAGCCTACCCACCTCCTAGTTAGTACAAGGCAAATGATCAAGAGATGCTTACACAACAAGTTTCTGATTAGACACACAGTTGATTGCAGCTGGGTATATGCAACCTAGACTTTTAAAACTTCAGCTTAAGGGCTGCAAGGAACAACGGTGGGACTTCCCTACAACCAATGCATTTGCTGCAACATACAGGATGCCTCTGTGCTGGGGGAAAATAGGATCAGTGGATCTTGGAAAATCAGTGCACCAGAAAAGCTTCCAGATGTCAATCAATTGGAGCCCAACCCTGGCTAGTTTCAATGAAAACCAAATTCAGTGAAAGCTATGGGTAACTCACAGGATCAGCACAGCTGCTAAAGAAATTGTCTCAAAATGCAAAGTAAAACCATGAATGGGGACCAGAAGTCCTGCCAAAGGCACGCGTCAGGCACGCCTCAGACCTTGTGCTCCCCCTGAGGGATCCTGAGGCATCACCTCTGAACTTGACATGCCAAGTAAGAAGCAGGGGTATGGTAAGGTGTCCTGCAGCCATGGTGGTGGCTACGGCACGCAGCTGCCCGTGACGGCTACATAAGCACTTGTGGCAGAGTCCCCGGGCTTCACTTACTGACAGAGCCAGCGTGCCGCCATGGCTGCAGGACACCTTACCATACCCCTGCTTCTTTAGGCATCCCCTTTAGGATTCCAGCTCTGCACCAGGAGCAGCTGGGGCTGAGGCCAAGCAAGGAGAAAGAACAAATAGTTGATGTTTTGTCTTTGTGTTGGAGTAGATCCTTTATTCTCAGAGCCACAGACGCACGAAGCGAGTGAGAATACTAGAGAATCCCAGCATGATAGTTTCTACAAAACCACGGTCTGAGAAAAGGATCTGCAGCCCAATTGGAACCTGCCTCCCATCTAAAGGAGGCCCTCCCAAGTTTCATAAGGAGAGCTACCGTACCAGGTTGACCCTGTACAACGAGAAAGAGGGATGCATTCCTGGAAAAAGTAGCCTTTCCATAAAATACTACAGAGTACATTGGAAATTTGAGTTTCATTCTCTTCCAAGTCCCTGAAGTGATGACATGCCTGTGGTCATAATTTCTTAACCACATTGTTGGGACATCTGTCAAGTACTTCCTCCTAGGCTGCACTGGTGCATATGACACTATTCATAAAAATGGTATTGATGATTACATTAAGTTTTTGCTAAGTACAGAGGAACTATGCTATGGGTGTTAGGTTTGCATCCACTTCATATTAAATATTAGTCTCATAACTCTGTGAAATAAATCCTGTGGTAATACCCATTTTTAGGGATGAAGAAAGTGAGTTGAGAGTCTCATTAATTTACCTAAAAACATGCCGTAAGCTAGCTACAGGACTAAGAGGAATCAGTGTGTGTGTGTGTGTGTGTGTGTGAGAGAGAGAGAGAGAGAGAGAGAGAGACAGAGAGAGAGAGACAGAGAGAGAGAGAGAAAGAGACAGAGAGAGAGACAGAGACAGAGAGAGAGCAAGAGAGACAGAGAGAGAGCGAGAGAGAAAGAGACAGAGAGAGACAGAGAGAGAGACAGAGAGAGAGAGAGAGACTATGGACTTGTTGTCAGTGTGGGTATGTGCATGTATACATCCATGTGTGCATATATTTTAATTGATCCCTCTTTCTGTGTAGCTCTCACTGATCTGGGACTCCCTCTAAAGACCAGGCAGGCCTTGAACTCACAGAAATCCACCCACCTCTACCTAAAGAGTGTTGGGATTAAAGGCATGAACAGCCATGCCCAGCTCTCTACATTTATCTTTTGAGACAGGGTGTCTTACCGAACCCAAATGCCGTCAGTTTGGCTAGGCTGGATGTCCAACCAGGTTCAGGAGTCCTGCTGTCTCCCCACCCCCACTGTCAGGGTTAAATGGGTGTGCCCTGTGCCGGCTTTTGACATTGGTGCCGGGGATGCAAACTCAGGTCTTCATGCTCACACGGCTGGTCTTTGCCGACTTGGGCCATCTCTGCAGCTTTCCATCTGAAGAGTTTCCAGCAAGTCCTGGCGAATGGCTGCGAACGGTCACTCACTTCCTTGACCAGATACCCACTGCGGAAAATTAGCCTCTTCTGCATCCACGCTGATCCATCTATGGCTCTTTCTGCACTCCCGTGTGCTGGACTTTATCATCATCCCTTGGGGACCAAACAAGTTTCTGGTTGACTGTGAGCTGCTGGTGGGCCTCAATGTGCTGCCGTCACTGACAAACCATGAGAATAGACCGTATTGCCCTCCTTTTTAGTGATATCATGACTATCCACATATGCACATTTTAATGTAAAGTATTTCTGAGATATCACTATTTGAAATCAGAACTCTGAGGACAATATACTATTTGTCATTTATTATGAGTTGGTCGTTTCATGAAACACATTCGGTAAGATATTCATTCAATTTAATGAATTTATTGGATATCTTTTTATTGGCTGCTTATTTTCCAATATTTTATTGTATAAAATCTCAAAGATATTAAAAAGTTGAAGGAACTTTGCAGTGGGCATCCAGACACCTGTCAGCTGAACCCAATACCCAACATGTCCTTTATTTACCTTCTTGTATCTAATTGTCTGTACACAGTCTCTTCTCTCATCTGCCCATCCCATTTCAATGCATTATAAAATAACCTGCAGTATCAGAGCCCCCCCCCTCACGTATTCTGCCACGCACACCGTTAACTCGAGTCTCGCTCTTATCTGCAGCTCGTCTTTGAAACGGAAATGCCTGTTTGAGACGGAAATTCCTGTTTAGTGAACTACAGACTCTCCAGTGCAATACCTGAAAAGCCTGACAGACACATGCTTGCTTAACCAAATCTTTATCGAGTTATGCAGTATTCCTATACTTTAAGAAAGTTCCCTTATGTTCCTTTCCAGCATCTCTCAGCCCATACTCCCCCAAAGATAGTCACTCACTTTAAAATTTTGTCATCACAGACTACATTTTCTTGCTCTGGGAACTTCATAAAAATGGAGCTATAAAATACTAACTTTGTCTACTTTTTGTCCACTGGGTATATATCTTGTGTTTGAGGTTTTTTTTTTTTGCATGCGCCTGCATACATGAGTAATTTGGTATCTTTATTGCTGAGTGGCTTTCGCCATGTAAATACATCATATTTATCACCATTTCCTTGACTGTTCTTTTGTAGATGGACAGCTAGGCTGCTTCCTGCCTTTATTTATTACGAGTTAAGCTGTAATGAACACCCTCGTGCAAGTGTTTTGTGGACTGTACTTCATTTCTCTTGGAAACACACAAAAATGAAATTCAGTGGCATTGTTGGACGATAAATTTCAGTTCTGTATTTCACCAGTAAGTAATTTTTCTGACTGCTTTCCAAAGGGGTTAAGCCATTTTAGACACCCACCAATCATCAATAAGTATTCTAACTGCTTCCCATCCTGTCCAGTATCAGATGAGGCCAGACTTTTTATTTTTCCATTCTGTTGGTCACTGATATTATTCACTGGGTTTTTAAAAAATGTTTGCTTTTTATAATTTTAACCCTGTGTGTGTGAGAGAGACTGTGTGTGTGTGTGTGTGTGTGTGTGTGTGTGGTATGTGAATGTGTGTGTAGTATGTGAATGTGTGTGTGAGTGTGTGTGTGTGTGTGTGTGTGAGAAAGAGAGAGAGAGAGTGCTTGCACCTGCATGCACACATGACAACAGGTAACTGTGGAGGTCAGAAGAGGACATTGGATCCCCTGGAGATGGAACTACATGTGTTTTTGAGCTGCCATGTGGGTGCTGGAAATGGAACAAGGCTGACTAACTTCCCTTAATATGGGACAGAGTCACTCTTTAATCACACGAATATGCACACTGTGTATTATCTGAGGTGGAGAAATGCAAAAGTAGTTGAATCAAGCTGTTCTTTGACTAAAACTTAGTAATTTACCTCACTCTAAGCATACAGGTTGAATGTTTACTCAAAATGAATGTATTCATATGCTGAAACCAAAAGAGTTTACTGTTTAACTGTTAATGCATCATTTCTCTTGTATTTCATATCTTAAAAATAAATATTTGTTAAATAAGCAATTCAGAACTCATGGGAGCAGAAAGAAAATGAATCCTTCCCCAGGACAAGACTCGGCTTTTGAGTTCATCAAGGCAACAAGGCAAGTCAAGGAGCTGCAGCCACGGGAGGAGCGTGAAGTCTGGACAAGCGTGAGACGCCAATGAGCTCTCTGCAAAGAGAGAAAGGGAGACAATACAAGAGCGACGAGATCTGCAGAAGGAAATGCTAGCGGAGGTCAGCTCACAGGGGCTCCACGTTAACAAATGGTGACAGGATTTTTTTTTACACCAAGAAAAACTTTTTATTAAAGCGTCAATTACCAGTTATTTAAAAAGACACAAGAGAAGACAAACATACAAAGGCAGCATCATACAACTGATTTTTAAACACAGTACTTTTGAAATATGAAACAATAATCACTACCCCTAAGTCTGTTTATTGCTACAAATTGATTTATAAGTTGGTCTACAGCTGTTTTCAATCTTACAATACTGAGTTTTTCAGCTTTATCTTATAACATTTTAGAAATATGTTTCTCACAGTAGTAATTTCATACAATTAACACTAGCAAGGAAGCTTCCCAATGTCACAAGAATTCAATATAGCTGTTGCTGTGGGTATAGGTACCATTTGAGGTTGTCTACACTAAGACTCACACATTTAAAGGACACATTAATAGGCAAACTGTGGGGATCAAGAGCAGGAAGCTAAGAGCAGACAATGCTATCTTTTCCTTCAGTGGTGGCCAACAGAGACACCATTGCTTCAGGTCCACTGTTGGAGAAACAGTTCAGTTCTGCTCAAAGCAGCTGGCTCCATTCTGCATTTCCTTTTCTAAAGAATGACAGACTTTAACTAACTTGCACGACCAAATAAACGGTTACTTTAAGCTACCCCAGACCTAAACTACTTGAAATAAGTTATTCTCTTAACTGGTTTAGCAGCTTTGCTTCTGGAAAAGGAGTAAAACCCACTTTGTTCCAATATGAGAATGCTGACTGAGAGCCTTGACTGTAAGATACCTACCTGCCTGTCTTCTCTCAGAGTGAACCATGAAGATAACCTTCACAAACTCTGTAATGTAATAAAAGCAAACATGACCTCATTTATCAACCCACAATACTTAGCCAGAAAAACAAGAAAGTACACATATAAGGTTGAAGGGACTTGTATAAAATAAGAGGGCGTATGTCATATAAAGTGGAATGTGTACAGTAATAAAAACTTGTATAAAGATGATTCTGCTTTATAGAAGTCTGTTTAAACTGACTATGAATGAATGATTGAAGTTTTCCTTCCCTAGCATAATGCCCATTCACTATAAGCTGGTCCTAGTTTCTTGCAAATCCCTCATTTCCTTGGATTTAGTTACTGTACCCTCGTTTGTACTGCCATAACTTCTAAGCTGGGCCTGCCCAGCCTGCCTGTAGAGCCTCTCTCAGAAACATACCAAGCACACAGCCAGAGGCATCCCTTAGTAGAGTTCTGCACTTCAAGCCTATTAAGGACCAGTATGTGGCCCTCCAATGTAAATACCTCTTATTTCACACTATCACTGAAGCAGTGCAGTTCACTCACTACTCTGTCGCTACTGGAAATGTAGTAGCTCTAAGAGTTTTGTTCAGTTGCAGAAACATTTCAATACTTATTAATTCCAAAAATCCGAACATGCTGTGGCATTTTGGGAATAAGTATACTCAGGAGAAAAGTTGTGTTTAAGATGAAGTGAGTTGGATCATACTTCGCATAGAAACTTGCCAGAAAGTATAGAATTATTGGAGAAATTGTGAAAAACTTCTGAGAAGATGTAAACTGTACTCCATAGTCGAGTTGTTCCCGGTGGGTTAGGAGCCTTGTTCCACTCTGATCAGGAGTTTCAAAAGGTGTTCCTTTCACTGCATGCAAAAACACACACATCCCCAGATTATGTATTATGTTCATTAAGGTCCATGCAACAGGAGCACTGAAGAAGGGGATGCTGAGTAATACAATATGAAGCAAGCCGGCTCCCAAAGCGTATGCCAGCCACATCCCACGGCTGTTCATTACATGAGTATTGGGGTTGACCTCACTGTGGGCAACTCCAACATTCATGTTTGCTCGCCCGCTCCCGGAGGCCCGCACGTCGTAGGACCAGCCCGGCGACCGACAGGGTTCTTAAAGTTGCAAGTGGGTGAGGAGGGAGGGAAGTAGCCATATTTACAATTCTCATGTTTTATAAAAAAATAAGTCACGTTGAGAGGTTAGAGAAATGACTCACCAGTGAAGAACTTTGGTTGCTCTTCCAGAGGACCTAAGTTTGAGTCCCAGCACCCATATGGTAGACAACAACAGTCTTTAACTCTAGATCCAGGGGATCCAGTGGTGTCTTCTGGCCTCCACAGGCACCAGGCACATATGTGACACATAGGCATATATGCAGGCAAAATGCCCACATACTTAAAATAACTATTTTTAAACCATGCTAAAAGGATTAAGGACATCAATTGAGGAGATCTAAGCCAGAAGACAAAAGTGCAACATTTTACATGAGAAATACAAACATATGAAGAAGGACTAAGGACTTACACACATTCGGCGGCTGCTTCACTTGGAGTGGGGTGACTATAGTCAGTGGAGCACGTGCCTTACAGCATCATGAGTGGAAACCCTCTCCCTTCAGCTCAGGCGGGTGGTAGGTATGGGAAGAGCAAAGGATCCCTGTGTGGAGGTTCTCTCTGACCGCCCTGTGGTAGATGAAGTGTCTGAACTGGTGGTTGAGTGAGGAGAACACGCCTTGAAGGCCCTGTGAACGGACTGCACTGTGCCCGGGTCATGAAAGGAAGCCACAATGGGAGGAGCCATGAGTGAAGAGGAAACAGAGGGTTGCAAGCCTCACAAGATGCTGTGACCCATAATGGCTGCAGTGATAGGCAGAGTGACAGGTACAGAATTTGGATCTGGTCCTCAAGCCAACTGCCTTATTATTGACATAAGACACTTGGACTTGACGATCTCTAAGAGTCAAATTAGTTTTGCTCTTGCGTTCTCAAATAGTGCACGTTTATTTTCATTTGACCTGGAGATACTGCAGGAAACTTGTGAAAAATTGTACAAACCAGAGACGCATATCAGGTCACACAGGAAAACGATGGCTCCTTAGGCCAAGCATTCACCCAAGAAGTTAGTTTTGGGGTAGTGTTGAAAGATATCCAAGAAGTGCATATGCCAAACGGACTCACAAACTACTCAGACTCATAAAAGTATTTCTGAAAGAGTATTATCTACTTTCTGACTTTCTGGAAGGATGCCACAAACCCTTACATTCCACTTCTAAGGGAATAATGATAACAGGTACTGTTTCCTGAGTACTTACCACTTGTCACTAAGAGTAAAACTCACAGCAGTTTCTACATATCAAGGCCATACGGGATGTTACAAGTTTTGTCTTTTTATCAGTGTGACAAAACACCTAAGAAAGCAACTTAAAGATGGAAGATTTATTTTGGTTTATGACTTCAATGGTTTCAGCTCTCTGTCACTTGGCTTTGTTGTTCTTGGGCCACAGTAGAACTTTATAACATGAAAATATGCAAGAAAAGAGTGATTTACCCTATAGTGGCCAGGAATCACAAAGAGAGACCAAGAGAGTAAAAAGAGACTACAAGCAAGACAAACACTTCCAGACCATACCTCAAATGACCTAATTCTTCCAGAGAAGACCACCTCCAAACAAAACAACAACAACAAAAAACCCTCAAATTGTGAGTCCATCTAGGTATTAATATGTTGATTAGGTCAGGACTTCTACCCAGACACCACAATCCAACCATTTCTCAACATCTGAACATTACACAGGAGGTCAAGATTTTAACTTATGAACCTTTTAGAGAGGCACTTTATATCCAAACTAAAACAGATGATTATAAAGCAGTATAGATCCAAAACTCAAGGCCAGATTTCATTCCAACGCCCCTGGTTGTTCCCTGTGGTACTACTGATGGTGGCATGCAGTGACCGTGCTGAAGTACCAGCCTCGTTCCAGAAATGGTAAAGCATGCTTTTTTCTTGCAAGAGAACCCAGATAACCACTATTAGAGCTGATAAAGGACCCAGATGTTGAGTTCATGAGAAGGAACAGTCTTGAGCCTGGCACAGCAGATACATCAAACTCTAACTCTATTGCATGCCATTCTGGTGACTAGCACGGAACATTGGAGCCAAGGTAGCCTTCTGCCTTTCCATTGAAAACTCTGACCTGCAGGTGAAGATGTTGTTCAGAATTCTTGGTACAGACTTAGCAGGGGGGGGAGCAAGCAAACATTTGTGCTGAAAATGAAGTAAATTACAAGGGGTCTACACAGACTGAAAGAAAGTTAACTTGAGCATACAGTTAAAAAGCAGCCATTCTTACTTGGAGAAACAACTGGAACCTGAGGGCATCTCTGGAATGACCTAGAAACCTAGAGTAATGGAAACTCCCAGGAATCTATAAGGATGACCCTAGATAAGACTCCTAACAATGGGGAATATGGAGCCTGAACTGGTCAGCTCCCGTAACCAGGCAAGACATCTAGTGAACAGAATGGGACACCAGCCTTCGACACACAATTTATCCTATCTACAAGATGTGCTGGGATAAAGATGGCACAGAAATTGTGGGAGTGACCAACTAAGGATTGACCCAGCTGGAGACCCAGATCCTGAGAGGGAGCTCAAAGACTCCTATGGAAGAATTACAGGAGCCAGAGAGGTCAAGGAAACCACAAGAATATCCACAGAACCAACTGATCTGGGCTCAGAGGGGCTCACACAGACGGAACTGACAACCAGGGACCCTTCATGGGACTGACTTGGGCACTCTGCATATATGTTAGAGTTGTAGGACGTGGTATTCTTGTGGGACTCCTGACAGTGAGAGCAGAGGTTGCCTCTGACTCTGATGCCTGCTTCTGGGACTGTTTCCTCCTACTGGCTTACCCCATCCAGCCTTAATAGAAGAGGAGGTGCCCAGTCTCACCACAACTTGACATGCCTTGGCTAGCTGATATCCATGGGAGGCCTGCCTACCTATATCTGAAGAAAAGCAGTGGAGAGGAGTGATGGAGAGGGAAGAGGAGGGGGAGAATTGGGAAGAGGGAGGAGAAACTTTGGGATGTAAAGACAAATAAATAAAAATGTTTAAAGAATGACCACTCACGCTTTTTTCAGCAGTACATATAATAAAGAGTGATCACTCTTGACTTACTTTCCCTGAAGCATGAGGGAGACATGTAAATAAGGACATCTGTGGGCAATGACTAGAATTTTAGGTTAATAAAGAGCTTAACCAGCCAACACAGGGCTTCATGAGCAGAGATGCCCAGTGTCTCAACACTGATATTACACATGCCTTGATTAGGAATACATCTGAAATGCAAACTATCCCTTCCTAAGCTGAAACACAAGAGACGCAAGAGACAAGGGAGGGTAGGAGATTCACTGTCCTCTGTGGAATTATGAATCAGGACTGGCAGCAGCAGGGGATAAACACACATAAGCCCCTGTGTCACTCACACGCACACACTCTCTCTCTGTCTCTCTGTCTCTCTCTGTCTGTCTCTCTGTCTCTGTCTCTGTCTCTGTCTCTCTTTCTCTCTCTATCTCTCCAGTAGGCATGGGTACCATCCGCAATGAGTCTACTCTCAGGAGAAGGTCTGCCAGTTCAGAAAAATGCTATAGGTTTCAGCACCAGCTCAGTGTGAAGGGCTCCCCTGAGGCTTCCCTGGAACTCAGTCAGAAACTCTGAGTCATTCCTTTCCATCTCTTGGGCAGGAGGCCAGGACAGTCTCTGACCCCACCTCATGCTGAAGCCTATGGACATCACTGACGACATGCCCATCTGCTGTCCCAGCAGGATGAGGACTGGCCAATGATTACAATGTGCTTTGAAAACACAAAACTTCCACCTTTTTTTCTGGAATCACATTCTCTTTAGTTTCAGCAACTAATATTTGAAAAGCAAGTAAGTAAAAATATGGACACAACAGGGCAGTCGCACACACGAACTCACAGTGGTTGTGACAGCATGCTCAAGACCTGTGCACCCCTAAGCCAGACAAAATCCCAGCATGGCTAGGGGAGGAGGGGACAGAGGCTCACCCTCAGATCAGGGGCTGCTCAGAGAGGAAGAACAAATTTTCTTTAAGGTTATGGCCTCTGGGAGGTAAACCACACTGTGGTGATATTTTGTTTACGATCTAATAAATAAAGCATGGCTGAAGATCAGAGTACAAACCAGCCACACTAGTTAGCCAGAGAGACCAGGCAGTGGTGGTGCATAGTTTTAATCCCAGCACTCAGGATGCAGAGGCAGAAAGATCTCTGTTAACTCAAAGCCACTCTGAACTACATGAAGTTGATCCAGTCTAAAAGAGAAACAGAGCTCACACAAAGGTGATCTCAGCACTCTAGTCCCACATGGAAATGACATATAAATGGTCTTCAATCATTTCACTTGGCCCAGTGGTCACTTCTGAAATTCAATTTAGAAATTAGTATTTGGTGCTAGATGCATACAGATGGGACATCAGGCCAGGGCTCCCTTTAAGGGGGTTCAGCCTTTCCTGAAACTTACGAGAATTGAGTCCTCAGACACTCAAAGCTTTATCTGTAAGATGACTTACAGAAATTTAATGAATTAAGTCTTGTGATCTGGGAATTCATTAAGCATTGTTTAAAATACTTTAAATGCTCTCATTCCATTACCAGAAATGACCAATTGCTTCTGAATCTGTGATTTCTACAGTGAAACCTATACTTCCATTGCAAGATGGGCATAGTGACAATGCCCTTCTCTGATGATGAGTGAACTGGTGGTTATAACACATAAACCACACACTCAATTTTTATATGCAAAACTGCAATTGTTTAAACATTTGACAAAATATTCTTACCCACGGCACACACTCCGATCCACAGGATATTCCTGAATCATTTTTCATGACTCACTGACTCCCTCACTCACTTAGATACTTGTTCAACATGCATAGGCATTGACCTCTTGAGTGGGCCAGACTTCGGATTTAACCAGCTCCCTAAATTAACTTCATAGGCAATTATCATACCTATTTCCCAGAAAGAAGAGGGCAGGGGTTAGAACACCACAGCTCCGCCATTAAGATGCTGAACTTCTCTGAAAAATAAATTCTCTGTCTGTAAACTACTGTGGTTGGGGAAGGGGTAAAGTGTGAAACTGGGTCCTCCCAGAGCCCAGGATGGCTTTCATTTCTTGATTAATCTCTAATTCC